CACACACACACACACACACACACACACACACACAAACATACATACCTAAGCCCGAACATGCAAACAGAAACCAACATCCATGGCCAACGAAAATATTAACCACACACAGGCGCACTGGTTCTGAGAATTAATTTGATGAAACCTTGATGAACATTAACTAGCAGTATCATAATACATGTACGTGGTGCGACCTAGTGCGGAATATTGTCACAGAAGCTATGATGCCCCGGATGTATTGCTGCTATTTAAGGCTCTCAAATCTTGAAATTTACTCTTTGTGATCTTTAAAGTAGAATGATTAAAGATCTCTTGGTGATTCAAAACCGATAGAGTAGGCTTCGGCCGCCACCAGAGCAAAATTAAAAATGAATTTAAAAATACCAAACTGAAAAATGATGTTTAACTAGCTGGGTCCCCTTTCGATGAAAGGAAAGATCGGTGCATTAACATCAACTGAAAGCCATTGGACTACCATATTTACACTCTACTGGAATGGAGCAATAAATCTTGAAAGAAAGTGACACATATTATGTTTCCAAGTTGCCAAATTATATATAATGGACGATGATATACTTGACCCTGCACGCGAAACTGTGGATTTCATCCAATGAGGGTTGCATCGGTAGCCCATGGATGTGAGCTTAAAGCAATTGTTGTACAGCCTGATTTTCTCCAGAAAGTGAGTGGACAGTGTCGACTTTGCAGTTCAGGAGGTGGTTTTGGAAATGGATGCAGATCAACTTTGCCATTGCTACAGCACATACCTTGTGTTTCAGATATGGAAGTCTTATGGCCAGGCAGTGTGTGCACTGTGTCGACAGTTCCCCAATGCTCAATGTAGCTCTCGTACTGAAAGGAATTGACACTGAAGAGGAATGCTTTTGGGAGATTTAGATCTATAATAATAATTGCATTTATATAGCGCATATCCATGCTCAAGAGCTTGCTCTATGCGCTTTACAACTATTATTACCCCAGCAGACCCTCTGAGAACACTCAGAAACATTCTCAGCTTCCGCGGAAGCACAAAGTGCAAGCTGCGGAATTCACGCGCTCAAACACTATCAAACTGACAAGATCTTTCACTGTCTATAGCTGGGTACTCATTTCCACCTGGGTGAAGTGAGGAAAATTTGTGCAAAGTGCCTTTCCCAAGGACACAACGTCGGGTCCCTGGCGGAATTCGAACCCACGACCTTACGGTTGCGAGTCCGAGAGCCTAACCACTAGGCCACCGACGCCAGAGAGTCCTCATCATTTTATTGTTGATCTAGACCACCTCGACCTTTGCGAGCGCGAGGGGTACCAACAGCAGAACGTCGCTTTCTTTTCGGCATGGTCTAGCGCTATCTAGATCTAGATCTAGATTCTAATCTAAGACCTGTTGACGTTGTTCCCAGTAGCAGAAAAAAAATTGACAAAGGAGTCCAGAGAAAAAAGCGATGATGGGCATCAAACGAAAGGAACACAATCGAATTTAGCACCAAGTAAAAAAAAAGAACAAATGAGGCTAGATCTGTACGGGACGCACACTTAAAATAGTGCTCAGTATTGAGCGACAATGCGAAATAGAATCGAACGAAAGTACGACTTGAAATAAACAAACCTGGTAGATTTTTCTAAAAGTACAGAGACAGAAGCGTTGGCCTACAAAACGATTGGCGAAATAAAGACATTTAGCTTTTTGCAGCAAAACTGTCTTAAAACTGAAAAAACGAAGGGCGTCATGATCTGGAGAATATTTTTAAGAATCTTTTGGCGAAAACCGCATGTCGATCGATGCAGCCATTAAAAAGCCTTTTGAATAGCAAAATTCGGCCACCACAAATAGATAATAGATGTGTCCTGCAGACCTTATGCAGTTGCGAACGCCGTAAAACATACCCCCCCCCCTTTCCCCCCAAAGTAGAATGATACACAGTCGAGGAACTGTTTTATTGATTTGTCCTTTTCTTGGACGTTGGGAGACCAAACCACTCATTGCCAAGGTTGTGTTTGCCAAAAAATGTCCTCGTCTAATGTGGAAACTCAATCTTGCATTAACAGTCGGCGTCTTGTTTTGTCTACCCTACCTGGCGGGGTTTTTTTGGAATGTGATTTAGACAAAATCATGGAAGAAAATGTGATCCACTAACTTCACGTTGTAGTATCTTCCGTTAATCATAGCAGTTCTGAAAAT